TCAATAACAATACACATCTGTGTCCAGCTGAGTTCAGAATAAATAGTAAATATTAAGATATGCAGTTAAACATTTGCAGCTGGTACAGACCCAAATAGCTTTAGTGAAGTCTTAAAGTGTAGTCTTTATTACTGTATATGATGTCTGAACTATCATCTTTATCTTCTAGGCTGACATAAAACTAACATGTAACAACCTTGGTGACTTGCACTATCTCACCTTCATCCTCGAGATAAGATCTGTAGGCTTATTTTCAGCCCCAGGTTCCAGCCATTCAACACCCAGTGAGCCAATTTTATTTTTATAGACAATATTTTGGGCATTCAGGCAGTTTTGTTGGATTAGTTCATTAGTAATTGGGAGGGGATTGGTAATTATTATTTGGAGGATTAGTTATTAAATATGTTCAAGATGTTTCTGCCAATATTAAATACTATTTTATTTATGTTCAGTTCTTGTTTTTTAATTGCGATGGCTTCAAGAATTTGTGAGCATTTTTTGCATTTGTGTCAGAAATAAGAAAAATCCTAATCAACATTAAAATCCTCTACAAAAACTGCCTTAGGTATTTACCTAAAATAAATACCAATAAAAATAAAAGAATAAACAACCTACTTCAAACCGAAACATACAGCCATGATGACTGTTGACAAAAACTGGAAGCGCTCAGCAAGACACCAAGGACTAGGGTCTTTTTTCAACAACTTAAGCCCAAATATAAAAAAAACTTGCAAGAAAGCAAGAAAAAAAGATTATTAAAGAAAAAATTTCCATAGTCTTTAACGACACATGCCTCAATAATGACATGCTGCCAAAATATACATATATATATATATATATATATATATATATATATATATATATGTGAAAAGTGTATATAAATATAAATAAATATAAGTATGTATAATTATTTATATATTATATGCGTGGTACTTATTAGAAAGTGCTCAATATCAGAGATAGAGCTAACATATTTGGTTGGATAGATGTGAGTTTGTGACCCTGGGTTTCATGCTTTAGCATCGTCAGACAATTGTCTGACGATCGCTAAAGCATGAAACCCAGGGTCACAAACTCACATCTATCCAACCATATATATATATATATATATATATATATATATATATATATATATATATATTTTGGAAAGTCAGCCTCTACAATGATAGCTTTATAAACAAATCAGAAAAATGTAACAAAATCAATAATTCAACTTCCCAAAAAATAATAGGTCAGTTTCTGCCTGATATTTTGGGATGATGAGCTGTCATTATTTATATTATTTACATATGAACTATTGTCGTCATCTTTATCATATCACAATGTTTCACTCGACATGCTCTCCAGGCTTCTTCAGGTACTTATCTGAATAATCAAAAGGGAACTTTGAACTAAACCTTAATTTAATCCACACGGCAGATTGTTCTCATTCAGGTAAACATGTCTAGGTATATTTCTTTTAGTTCTTCTTTAGTTCTGCTCAGATATTATTGCTCATCCTGTTTTGAGTTCAAGTACACACTGTCTGGCAGTGACATAGTAATTGTGAGTTAATCCTTGAACTGACAATAACTGAGCAGTACTAACTAAGAACTGGATAAGATATCCCTAGAAATGGTCAGTGGAATGAGAACAGTCTACCTCCATCTTTGTTGAGATCATTCAGTTTCTGGTCTGCAATTGTGGCCTTGTACTAATTGCAAATTAAATTTTATAATCCATGGCTAATAGAGTGAGTACAACCATCACTGTAGTGTCCCACTACTGCAGCATTTGAAGCTTAGGAAACATCTACTTTTACATGTTTCATCCTAACTGGGTGCCTTATTTTTGTGATTTTGTGCCAGATTAAACCAAACTTTGTGCATATGGACTTGGTACTTACTGTAGTCCTGAAAATTTGTTAAAAGTGAAGAGCACAATTGTAAAAATATCTATTGAAATTATAATGGACTTTTAGAAAAGCTACCAATGTCTGCAGAGAAACTTGCAATCAAGTCACTTCCATATTTATAAAATTGCAAATAAATAAGGGAAACAACTTTCTAATAAGCCAAACTGACTATATTTCGAATTAAAAGTTATTTTTAATCAAGGTCTGCTGCTAGGAAATTCAGTTCACTGTATCTTAGCAGACAATTCCCACCAGAATATATCTTGCACATTTATAAATCAATCATTTATTCTGCATTGAATATTGTGGCAACATCTGGTGTGGCGCTCCTTCTATATATCTTGAGATTCTTGACAAAGTTTAAAAAATGCTTTATAATGTTATCAGTACTGGCTGGTATCTAAACTTCAATCATTTTCCCCACTGCCATAACTTAGCTTCATTGTACCTTTTCTATAAATATTTTCATGACAATTTCTCTAACAAGCTTTCCTCCTTGATACATCATCAACCACATGAATTTAAGCTTACTACTAGATTGGCAGTTAGGTCTCATTACTTTACTAACTAGATCAGTGGTTACCACCCGATTTTGGGTCATGTCCCACTTTGGTATTTCTAAAATTCTGGTGCCCCCTGTAATATTTTATACTTACATATTCAAAATTTTACTGCAATTCACATGAAGGAAGTTTAAAAAGCCATTAATTTGGTCTCTAAACAAGCCTCCAAAGACCATGGTGTCCATAAAAGAGAAAAATTAGAATATATTTTGATCATTTTAATCATGAAATAATAATGCAAAATGAAATTTAACCTCACATTGGTATAGTAAGCCGAAGGGTGCACATCCTATACATGCCCCACCAAAATATTATCATGCCTCTCCAGTTGGGTATGTGCCCCATGCTGGGAATCATTGAGCTAGATGTATCCGTAAGTTTTATTCTAATAGTTTCTTTTCTCACACTTCTCACCTGTGGAACCGTCATCAGTTTTCTTGCTTCCCTGATACTTACAATCTTCAAAGATTTAAAGGCAATCACCATCTTCTGTCTTTCTGAAATCTGTTCTTTTATTGTCCTTTCTCCTCACTAATGTCATTTCATTCTCTTTCACTCTCATTAACCCCTTGCTTCTGTCACCTTGCTGAGAGTGAAATGATTGGGAAAAAATATATCAACAGAAGTTGATGTTAAAAATTATATTTAAATATATGCTTACTACTTAGAAAAATGTTTTTTGAAATAAAATGTTAATTTTATTTGCGAATAAAGGAGGAAAAGAAAGAAAAACGGTACTCATTTCTTCCCTGTGATATAAAGTTTTTATAAAAACGATGTTCATTTGCGTTGATAAAGTCCTTCAAAGATCCCAATGTGTTGGCTAAGGTAAGTTTTCCTTTTGTCTTTATTCATAAAAAATAATCAAAAATATATTTTTGTTTACAAAAAATCATTTTAAAACAATGATCTTTTAATTTTTTCATTTTTGAATGTTGATAAGTTTTTTTAGAACATTATTATTGGAGTGAACATGAAAGCAGAATTTTCTTCATTATCAACTTGCAAACTGAACTAGGAAGTGCTTTATTCTTCAAGTTTAATGGTCAGGACATGTGAGCAATATGGAAGTTTAAAATAAAATGGAAACAAAAAGGACAATTATACTTAGAATCAGAAAGAGAGAATTGGAATTTCCAAGAGGTTAGGAGAATTTGACATTCAAAGGGCATCGATAGTTTACTTGCTGTTTCCCTAACAAACTTATATAAATGGATGGCAGAACAGGTAATGGGAGGAACATTACTTAAAGCTACAAAAGGATAGGAAGTTGTGGAGAGCCATGATCACCTATGTCCTGAAGGGATACAGCATATAAAAGAAGAAGGAAAAGATTGCACAAACTAAAATTTTGCTATGATGTGCTGTTTTGTAGTATTAACACAGCCACACAAAGAAAAACTGGATCATTATAATACTATGTTGCAAAAAGGTATGTCTATCTGGAGTAGCAGTTGTACCCTGTTTTTTTTTCAATTACAATTGGTAAGACTACCACAAAACTCTAAACTCTACACACAAAGCACAGTCATTTGACTCATCAGCCTTTGCTGCCTTTCTCATATTCTCTCAGTCATCCACATTTTGAGTGGCTGCAGCTCAGAAATTTACATAAGTGATATAATGGAATAACCTGTCACCCCCCATGAGTAACTACCTATAAGTATCTGTAAATCAATGGACCACAGAGTCTAGCTGTGACCTGTTCCAGCTAAACAGTCGAACTCTCTGCCTTCAGGTGGAGAGGAACCTGGATGAGGCTCTGCTGAAGAGCAGAGTCTCGTTCGGGGAGGTAAACTGACACTGAACCTGTTTATGCGGGTTCAAAAAGGGAATATATCTGGCCGAGCCTACGGACTCGGAGAACCCACATTCAACCGACCTTGAGCCACATGCAACCCTGGGGGGGGGGGGTAGCTAAATATACTAGCTGCAACCTGTTCCAGCTAGACAGTTGAAAAAAGGGAATGTTTTTAGCTGAGTCTACGGGCTCAGAAAACACATGCTTCCATGCGGGTTCAAAAAGGGAATATTTTTGCCCAAGCCTATGGACTTGGAAAACCCACGTTAAACTGGCCTTGAGCCACATGCAGCCCTTGTAGTGGGGTAGCTAAATATACTAGCTGGGATCTGTTGAGTATGACTCAGACTTATGTGAGAACTACCGACCTTCCAAATAGTAGATTGGATTGACTTGCAATGGCCTTGTGCATGACTGTTACCTTTATTCTTATTTACTGTTTTTTTACAATAAACCTTTACTTATTTTATCCACCATGTTTTTCAAGTATATATTCCTATTAGAATGGAATATAACATAAAGCCACAAATTTGTCTTGCAAAATCTCTGAGCTATCAGATCAAGTTATTCTTAAATTGTAGCTTTTGGATTGGCCATGTTTCTTGCACACAAGACACGTACAAATGTGTTTTGTTTAAGGAGGTAAGCCATTTTCCGTTTTACATACAGATGCAAATTGCTATACTTTTTTTTTCTGAAATGAAATGTGATTAAAAAGCAACAAGAAAAAAAAATGACTGACCTGAATAGTTTTTCCTGACACAGTGTTGGTCAGGGATACTCTTAATGGGGAATAGGAGATAAAAAGTATGATCACTGAAATCACAAGTAATACAATCAACACGATGGACACAGGAGAGCTCTTGCTACCTCGGCTTATTACATCTGTCGCTTCTGAAAAAAAAGAAAAAACAGCAAATTTTCAACAAAGTGATTTAGTTAATATGCCAAGGAAATAAAAATTACTCAAACTGACCAAATATCAGTATTTTTTAGAATCCATTTCTTGGTCAACCAATTAACTTTTCACCACCCACATATATTTGGATGCTAATCTATATCATACACAACATAGTAGAAACTTTTTGTTTATACACATAAAATTTTCTTGTCTAATTCCCAGAGATTTTACCCCTCCCCCCACAAAAAAAAAAACTCAGCTTTTTTCCTCCAATTATTTTTGGCTATTGAACAATTTTAAAATATTATTGCAGTAAAAAAATAATTTGCCTATATTTCTGAGATGAGGGATTGTAACTATTTACATTGTTCAGATTGTTGTCCTCATTTTCATTGTTACATTCATGACATTTCGGCCATTGTATGCTCAGGTCTTCTTCAGGATATGTCTATATTTCTGAGATGAGGTATTGTAACTATTTACACTATTTATATTATTCAGATTGTTGTCCTCATCTTTATTGTCATATTCATGACATTTCAGGCAGTGGTTGAAGTAACCCAGTGACTTGACATAAAAAATTGTGAGTTCAATACCTGGCCACAGCAGAGGTGAACAAAAAATTGGATTGAGTTACTAAAGAGAAATAACTGAAATGGAGAAATTCAGAAAAGACATAGCACATGGAACTATAACAATCTACCCAGGTGGATGAAATAAATGATTCAGTTTGAAATTCCAGTGTATATGACCTGAAGAAGGCCAGAGCATAGAACAGCTGAAATGTTGTGAATATAGCAATAAAGATGAGGACAACAGTTTAAACAATGTAAATAGCGTAAATAGTTAAAAAAAAACAAAACAATATTAAAAAATATTTATGAAGAAAGAAGAGCAAGGAGAAAGAAAAGATAATATAAAAGAAAAAATATATCATAATAATAATAATAATAATAAAGAGAGTAATGAAAAAGAAAAATTAAAAAGAGTCAATCAGTTATCGTTCTTCACTCTTCAGAACTCTATAAAAAAATAAGAAAAATATCTACAACAATTGAACTAGGGATAATCCAAGGTAATCTGGTATATGGATTGCCTTGGGATAATCACAAAGACAGGACCTTAATCTAGAAGACAAAATATCTTATATCAATCAGTTTTCAACATGGAAAATTGGAGGTATAGATACAATTCCAATCCAATTGCAACTTCGATGGACTTGGTTTTATAGTGCACATGAGCAAGAAAATGACACCAAAAAACTTCATGCCAGTTCTCAGAATTCTCTTATTGAGATACAAGGATAAATTGAAGGAAAATCTCACTCCACTGCCTACGTCTAGAGATATCTTGTCTAGTTCTTATTTTTAGTACTGTTCAGTTATTGCATGCCATGTTCACAGTACCAAGGAGGACAATAGTCAGCATGTAAATAGAGTAAACAATAACTCCCCAGAAATTCAAACAAATTTAATGTACAGGGGTAGAGTGTTCTCAGTCCACCGCCCACGTCTAGGGATATCTTGTCTAGTTCTTATTTTTAGTACTGCTTGGTTATTTCTTACCTGTTTTCTACTCTGCCCAGGGATTGAACTCACAATTACTATTTCACCAAATTCAAAAATCAACACTTTAATCCATTATGACAATTCTCTGTGGTGAACTTGGAGCTTTAAACCTAACCTGCTGGCTGATTAGTGCTGCTATTGTTAAAGATTGGCTGTCATTTATCTTTCTTTATTAGTGGCTCCCATATTTCTATGCTAGGCCTACTAAGGAGCTCCTCATAGTCTAGCAGTGTTTTTCTTCCTTTACAGTATTTTTTTTACTGATGACTACCCTTTTCTCTTTGTACATGATCAGTCATTTATTCTTCACTGTAATTCTGCTGTTATTGTCCAAGATTCACAGACGTACAGAAAGATTGACCTAGATAATGCAGATTTTGACCTGAGCATCGTATGTCCCATGCTAAAAAGTAATTAGATATTTTGATTGATTTGTATAAAGGATCATTAACTCTAATTCATCTATATGACCTGTAAATTTAATCAAGAGTAAATAGAAACACATAGCCAAGATGTTGCAAATTTATTTTCTATTAATGGAGATGAATGCAACTCTTGAAAAAAAAAAACAGGCTTGTTGGTAAAAACCAATTTTTTTTTTAATCATTTCACTCCAAGCAAGGCGGGAATACCACTAGTACGCAGGGGGTTTACAGGGAGTGAAAGTGAGAGAAAAGTCTGGGTATGGGGGGTGGGGGTTGGTGAGGAAAGAACAAAAGATGACTGGGGTTCAAAAAGATAGAAGATGGTGATTGACAGTGCATTTAAAATTTTGAAAATTATCAAGAAAGCAAGTAAATAGAAGGGGGTTCCACAGGCAAGGACATACAAGAAAAGAAACTGTTGGAGTAAAAATGACAATTGCATTAAGCTATTCCAACAGTAAAAGGGTGGGACCTAATTGCCAATCTAGTAGCATGCTTAAATTTATGTAGTCGGGGTACCAGGGAAAAAGCTTGTCAAGAGCAGTTGCCATGAAAATATTTGTAGAAAAGACAGAGGGAAGCCAGATGATCATGCATTCTGTTTTCTTGTAGTTCATACTTAGTTCTTTTTTCTTGCATTCCTTCGCTATCTTTTATAGGAGCTTTTGTAGTTTCCTTTCCATGTCTGCTATGAAAACTGTGACATATATATATTTTATGTCGTTAAGATTCTGGTCGCCAATAATAAATCCTTGTATAACTTCTAATTCTCTCAGAATTGCCTCAATGTACAATTCGGAAAAAATTTATAGAACTGTCTTTAGAATATATAGTTGTTTTTTTTTTTTTATTTTTACTAGTCAACATGTTTTAAACGTTTTATTATGATATTTATAAGCACTCTCGGTTTAATTTGCTGTAATTTATTTATTCATTTTAATCGTATAAGCGAGTTTTTTAGTTTTTCTTTTTTTTTTATGGCCGAATTTTTCTTATTATCTCTGTAAATAGTAATTATTAGCTGGTGATATGAAACTTGATGAGAAGTGGGTAAAAACAGAAAACATAATTACCTTCTAAGTATCCTATGAAAGGATGTCCACTCAAAAATGAAAAAAAAAGGAAAAATTCCCCGTATACAACTTAAATAAAGTTCACACCATTGTGATTGGCTATTGGTCAACCTCCAATCAAATGTGTGATAATGGGGTATATTTATAGAAGTCAGTGTCTACAAGCATTTTTTAGAGGGCGTTTCAGAGTCTGATCAGCTCTGATGGGGGTCGATTTGGTGAGATCAGTATGATGTTTGAAAGACCCGAAACTGCCCAATGATCCAAATCAGAACATCACTGATGACGCCCTCTAGCGCTAAAGAGCGTATATTCAAAGTTAAGAAAGGATTGAAAAATACTGAAGTCGAACAATGTTCTAAATTTTTCATCATCATTTTTATAATCTTTGTTGTATAAGTTGAATAAATCTGGTGAGAAGACACATCCTTGTCTTACACTTCTTTCAATGGTAAAAAGATAATAATCAAAATATCATTGTATGTGACAAAAGCCTCATTAGTGGTTACTTATCACAAGATAAAAAGAGTGTATCCCAACTTGGAAGATTGGTGGGACATAATCTTGAACCATGACCAGTCTTTACTTTTAGCTCCCAATCAAGAACTGGACAAGTTCATTAAATATCTAAGAATTATTATTAAATATACAATTACATATGTATATATTAAAAATTATTTTATTAAATTCAGTCAACAATGTTTGTTTAATGTTTCCTTACATTTTTATAGTTTGCGTAATCTGAATTGTTGGACACATCTTTGTCCTTTCTCAAACAACAAACTGAATTTTTTTTTTTTTAAATTATTCAAAATATAAAAATAAAATAAAAAACATATATATATTAACACACACATGCACACACGCAAGGAGTAGACTTCTTAGCACCCTCTCATATATTGACTATTAAAGACACTTTTGTCCTTCAAATATACATATGTATCAATTTATATATAAATATACATGCCTATCAATTGATACATAAAAAATAATAAATTATATACATCACAAAATATAATAAAATACAAAGTAAATAGGGGGACAAAAATATTACAAGCAAAAAGATATTTGTAGCCTTGTTTATTTTTTTGTCTTTGTTTTCTTTAATACTAAATTTATCCAAAAGAAGGCTCGAGAGACACCCAAGGTAGTGGGTCACTATCAAAATGGTTATAATGTATGATAGGAACGAAAGAGTGGGGGTAGGAAATGAAGATTATGAGGATAGATAACAACTGTCCCTTGACTTGGAGTGATTAAGATTGTAGTGTTTAAGGAAGCACACAGGTGGGAGATTGTTCCACAAAGTGGCAGTCCTTGGGGGAAAAAATGAAGGCTAATGATTTAAGGGCTGGAGATTTGATTAACTTTTGACAGAAGTTTGCTACCAATTTCAATAAACTAAGAACTAAATTAATTTGTTTTGTTAACATAAATTTAAATTATAGAATTCACTTCAAGAATTTGGAAAACAGCCACAGATCCATAAGATTTCTAGGAGAAAAAAGTCAATAAATTAAAAAAAAAGGATAAAAAATATCAGTTCACCTCCACATCATCAAATAGTTTAAAAATTAAGGAAACCTTTTCCATAAAGTGATTGCTGGCATCTTGGAATCACAGATTTGATCAAATTTTTTCAAGCATTTAAGACTAAATTTATATTTTATCATAATGAATTAAATATATATGCACACACACACACACACACACACACACAGAGGTTTGCAAAGTTTTGAGTTTAACCCTCTTCCCAAAATCAGACAAAATCACTTCTAATGTTTCTTTTTTTTGAATAGGGTAAGACTTCTTTTGATTCCCCCATTATATATATATATATATATACATATATATGTGTGTATATATATATATATATATATATATGGTCCTTTATATATTGAAATTGAAAGGAGAGTTCATCTCTCTCACACACACATACACACACAAATATATTTTAAAAAAGAGGAAAAACCACAAATATTTTTTATTATAATGTGGATTTTTTTATATACTTTATTCTATATATTTTGCTACACACGTTTCAGGTTTTGTGACCTTCATCAGGTGAAAAATGGTTATTTCCACATAATATTTAAAGGAATTAATTTTCTCTTCCTATGTTAAGTCATTTAAGCATTGTCTTTTGTGTGTAGTAGTAGTCATCAGAATCCATCTTGGACTGTTCAAAATAGGTTCCTTTGCTCGAAGAGTAACAAAACAATTAAATTCGGTTAGAGAAAGGGAAAGAAAAGAGGATATCTTTGTTTTTATCTTTTTATGTCCCCCCCTACCCTGTGTATCACTTCATGCCTTCCTCTATTCTTGTGTGTGTGTCTGTGTTTTCACTAGTATGTGTGTATATATATTCTTTCTCCATAGATATATATTGTATTATTGCAATGAAATAGTATATATATATATATATATATATATATATATATATATATATGAAAAATGTGTGTATATAAATATAAATAAATATATATATGTATAATTATTTATATATTATATGTGAGGTACTTTTTATTAGTTATATATTATATGCGCGGTACTTTCGCTACACTTCCAATCTTTAAATTTCAACATACAAATGTGTATGTATAGACACAACACCACCCGTATACATACATATGTCATATCCGATCTGCCCACATATGTTTATATATGTATGAGTCCCGACGGACAACCAAGTATGTATATGTGTCTGCATACATTGATGTTTGCGTTAGTATGATGACATAAGCGACGAAATTTCCCCCACCACTTCCACAATAACACCAATACACGCAATCTATATAAACCCAAAATGTATATATATTATATATTGTTTCCAAATGCCACCACAGGGAGGTGGGGTGCTTTTGATGTCACCTAATTTTTCCAAAAAATTCCTTTTAACCTATCAAGGTTAGGTGAGTTAGTCCTATGTCGTGCTAGGGTGGAATTTTTCTTCTGTTCTTATAATTTTCTTCTTTTCTGGGCAATCTATAAATTCAGTTAAAAGTAAAAATATAATCAGCTTTGATAATGGTTAAAAATATAAATGAAAGTGCTTGGACATACAAAACTTTCAAACATTAAGACAATTTCTATATAATTTATGTCCAGAAAAGAAGAAATTTATATATATATATATATATATATATATATATATACACACACACACACACACAGAGACCTGGTCAAAATCTTAAGAAGATATAAAAGGGTTAAAAAAAAATCTAAAATACTGTTAAAATATATTTGTGAAACATTTATATTTAATGAGAAAATGTAGTTTATGAAAAACAATGAAAATTTTAAGCTTTTAATTGATTAATTTAAACAAAGATTGAAAAAAGGATTATCTATTATATTTTATTCCATCTATACTAACCCTATATTCAGATTATATATATATTAAAGAAAAACAGACCACTTTAAGGTTCTATTATAATAAGTTATTTCATCAGAGCCGGATCATCAGATAGCACTTCCAAAAGAAGTTTCATTTTTGGAAGTGTTATCTGATGATCTGGTGTCCTTTAAAAGGGCTCTTATGAAATAAATTATTATAATAGAACCTGAAAGTGGTCTGTTTTTCTTTGAAATATTAGCTCTGGACTTACATTGATTTCTTAGGATTTCATCCTCCTTGGGACTACCCATACGGATTACCAAGTTTTTCATAACTTATATATATATCATATTGTACATTGATTGCTGGTGTTAATTTCATTAACTCAGCACCTAAAAGATTGTATTGCATGCATGAAACTCTGAGTTATGTTATATATATATATATATATATATATATATATATATATATATATATATATATATATATATATTAATGTATATTTGGGCAGCAACCTTTCTTTTTTAAACTTTGTTTATTAAATACAGCAAACAAGGAATATTTAATTTTTTATTTATTTTTTCCAGCATCCTTACGTTTTTCCACACTGTCCAAAGTGCTTTCAGTTAGTTTATATACCATTGTCCATACTCTTGATCTTTCCTTGTCTGGCATCTCTGTTCTTTGTCCCAGATTCTTTTTTCCTCAAAATCAGACACTCTGGACCTTACAAGTGAGTGCCAGGTGGCACGGTCCTCATCAGACTCTTCCCCAGGTGGAATGGGGAATGCCACAATGCTTGAGAATCTCCTTCAGCATCTCTTTGTAATGGTTTTTTTGGTCTGCCAGTGCCTGTGCATAGCTCACCATGGATTAATCTCTTTAGAAGGCGAATGTCGTCCATGCAGTGAACATGGCCAACCCACCAGAGTTGATGGTGCTGTAGGATAGGATTGATGCTCTCCATCCTACTATGTCTGCTCTATGCATGCGGACAGTCTACTTTCAGTATGCTAAACAGGTTCATGCCTTCCACATTAGATGCCCCACAACCCTGCTCCATGTCAAGTAGCAGGATAGAGCCCAAGACATTAATATATATATATATATTTCAATGTTTTGGATGAACGATGATATATGTATAAACACTGCTACTCATGAGAATCCATTCTCCTACAATTAGAACTGAAATTTCATTTACAACCTTCAATTCATATATATATATATATATATATATATATATATATATATATATATATATATATATATATATATATATATATACACACACACCATATTTGGTTGAGTAATATTGACAAGTTCTGTCTATTTCCAAATTTATGAAAAAGTTACCAAAGTTCAGTTTTTCTCACAGTAAAAAAAAAAAAAAAAAATCAAATACATACAAAAATTCATTTTGACCATTTAAATGTTAAATGAATCATGTCACCCTGAGTGACTTGAAATTGAAACTGATTCCGGTAAACAAGGGAACACTGGAATTAACCAAAAATACTTATACAAACAAACATAATCCTTGAAAATGAATGTAGCAACATTTGAAAGTACTTAGGCAGAAAAAAATCAAAATAGCAAATAAAAATGAAATGTGGTAAATTTACTGCTTATATAATAGAACTAATTCAGAAATTTTAAAAAAAGTTGAAAATTGGATATCAATATTATTCAACCAAATATATTTGAAAGAATTCTTGCTGCCTAAATACAACTTATTTAAAATTTTAAATATAGATATATATATATATATATATATATATATATATGTATGTATGTATATATATATATGAGAGGAAGAGATCTAATGATTGGTAAATATAGTAATTTAAAAATGATAGTCTAAAATTCAGGACATTCATTTAACTGCTAAGTTACTCAGAGTTTCCCGTGTCTTGCCTGATATCTCACATATTACGTAAGTCACTTAACCAGAAAATGAGGAATCTTGTTTTTTTTTTTTCTTTGCATCTGAATTTTTGAAAGTATTTGTATTTGGTTAGCATATTGTGTGTGTGTCTGTAATAAATTGTATACAATTGCCAACTTGAGAGGAGGGGAATTTTGAAGGCCCAGTGTTACCAAATTTTTATTTCAAAGCTTGAAATGTTTCGGTTTACTTTTTTTTAAATAAGCTTAACTTGTAGATTTAATAAGAAGAATCCAACATTTCATAACACTGTAGCCGAGGCTGTGACTCATAGTTCAATATTACAAACATGAGTTCTCAGTTATAATCTATGTATCATGTCACTTCAGGACATTGGCGATCATGGCCTTCCACAACATCCTACCCTTCGTAGATCTTAGTAAGGTTTGTCTTTCTGCTATTCATCCCACTCCCTCTTCTACCATCTATTTACTCAAGCTCATTAGATAGGGTACTCACCACTTTCGACAACCCTACCTGCCATCAATAATTCTTATAGTCAATCATTTTCACAGGGAGTGCATCATTTTAGATTAGCAAATACATTAATAATAAAACAGAATATATATATATATATATATATATATATATATATAAAATAAATAAATGCTAATGAGTCAGGTACTACCTACCTAGGTTTCACCACATGGGATCATCAGGGTGAACTGGACAATTTCTTTCACTTTGTTCAGAGGTTTCTTTTTTTCCATTTTTCCTTGGATGCCAATTTATTTTAAAATTGTGCTATCCAGGTTTTCACCCACCGAGTTTAAATAGATTTGCATAATATATATATATATATATAAATAAATGTAAAAGACAATAGGAAAACTGTAATATTAGCCGACACATTTAATCCAATGTGGACTTTTTCAGGGCAAATTTATAAATATTGTCTTTTTCTACAGGTTAAGAAATTTTTCATATGTATATATATATATATATATATATATATATATATATATATATATATATATCACACTTTGAGTGCTGGTGTTAATAAAACAGTGCTCAATGTAATAAACCAGAGCTATCAAGTATATAACAACACAGATGCAAAAAAAAAATTAATTTTTATTTAAAGTTGTGAATATTATTTTACATTATTTATACAAATATTTCTGTAATAAATACCATTAATCCCTGTTTATTTAAATATAAAATAAAATATTTATACATATTTATTTTATCTATATAAAATAAAAATCCCGTCTATTTTAAATGGAACATATATTTTTAAAATAACAAACTGTAATACTTATGTAATATATAGACTGTACTAGCATTGTATTAACCAGATATTTTTATTAAAATTTAAATTATGTAATGGTCAGTCTCTACCTAGCACCTGAAGATTGCATTGTGCATAAAACTGAGTCATACTACCAGAGAGTGATATATATATATATATATATATATATATATATATATATATATATATATATATATGTGTGTGTGTGTGTGTGTGTGTGTGTGTATATATATATATATGTCATCAGAGAGATAGACTGTTTTGCTGTATCACAGCTCATCAGTGTGGCTAGAGGCCCAGATATATATATATATATATGTATATATACATGTTATATTACTGTCCAACTAGCATAATGAAAGAACAGGTGATATATTCAAAATTTTTGGATCCATTTTCAAATGAAGAAAAGAAAAGTAACATGTATCTTACAGAAGTTCAGTAAATATGCTGAGAGGTAATGCTGAGGGTATGATATCCTTCCCAAAGTGTTTGCCGCCAGTTAAAGACCAATTCCTTTTGAACATTACCTTGACCAGCATCCAATCAACAACCACCTTACCTTCCGTTGACATGAACCAGTCAGCAATAGCAGTGGTCACCTGCAGCCACACCCTAGCAACAAGTGGACACAATCACATTTATTTTATCCTAAAAATGGAAACTCTCAATGTTATATTAATGTCGTTTATAAACACTGTAGAAACAGCAAATGCCATGGTTGGTTGGGTGGAGATGCTGGTGGTGGGGTTGGGGCTCTCCTGTGTCTGTGTGTCTAGGCAAGACATTATTATCATTATTATTGTCACTTGCTAACTGCCAGACAATATTTTATTGGTATAAATCTAACTAGTAAGACAACATGGTGTAACCTGGATTTTAAAAAAAATGTTCTTTTCAATTGAATTACCATAACAACATAGATTTAAAATTAGTTGTATGTACAAGAGATGGTTGGTAAATATGAAATGCAATCCTATTACATAATATTTAGACAATTATAGAATAATGGAATTGGCATCAAAATGAAGTCAGTTTATTTGCTTTCATACATTGTTACATTTTTTTTATTGGTTTCACCTCATGCAAGGCAGTAAAGCCACTAAGACACAAGAGGTTACTCAGTGTGGAAAAATTAGAAACAGAAACATTAATAATGAGTGGGAAGAAGAAAGAGTAATCAGGAGGACAGTAGATAGTGATTGACATTGCATCTAAATTTTTGTTTTTTGGATCACTACAATCTTAACCTGTTCCAGTCTATGGGTAACCATTTATCCTCCCTTCCAATCCATACAAACTGATTCCTAACGTAACCCTCTACCTAGATTGGCCCCAGGGCCTTGTACAGGGTGAAGCTTAGTGTTTAAAAAAAAAAAAAAAAGAAACAAAAAAACAGATTTATAGAAACATTGAATTGAAAATTTGGCTTCCCGGTGCATTGCAGTCATTGAAAATGTAATTGATTAAATTTTTTTAACTAAGTTAACTTAAATTTTTTTTTCAATTCTTTTTATACAAAATGTAATTACTTTCTGAACAATATTTTCTTGCTAAAATTTATTTCTCAATTTTTGCTATTATTAAAGTTTATAAATACAGCAGAATTGTTTAGAGAAGACACCTCATAAAAGTGCTATAAAAATTTAAAAAGCAAAAATCAGGAAGGAAAAACAAAAATGGTTGTTATTGTAAAGAAGTAAAAGGAAAAACAAAAACAAGGATAAAAAATCCAAAACAAAATCCACACTGCTTTTCATTCCTCTCATGTCAGAACTGAAATATTTGTACAGCAAATGAAATAGAAAAAAAAAAAAGATAGAATATTATATCTTACTTATTATAAAACGCAGATTGTGTGTGTGTGTGTGTGTGTGTGTGTGTGTGTGTGTGTGTACGTTTTTATATATTTGATCAGATTTCCCTACATTTTTCAACCGATTTCAACAAAACTTCACAGGACTATGTAAAATTACCTTGCAGTGGTTCTGACAGTGCAAAAAAAATTAAAAAAAAACACAATTGTTTTGCACAAAATCAATTTGAAAAACACGATAAAACACGATTCTGTCACCAGAATGAAAGGGGGAACAACTCATATCGAGTTATACTTATTATAAAAAGGTTGTGTGTGTGTGGTGTATGTGTGTGTGTGTGTGTGTGTGTTCATTTATATATGGGATCGGATTTCCGACATTTTCAACCGATTTCAACAAAACTTCACTTTTTTTTTTTTGGCAGGTAGTGTTTTTATTGTCTTGCACACTTTTTTTCTTTATTTTTACATTCAGAATGCTTTAAAAATTCCATTTACAAAGACAATTGTTTATAATAAAATTCTATTCAATCGGTAGACTCATAGCGATTGAAAAACAATGTTTTTGTTTCAGTTTGGGTTTGACCAATTAGAAAAAAACAAAAAAAAAAAAAAAAAAACTAATTAAGACATGTGTGTCCATCAACTTTAAACAATAATCTTTGTCAATTTTATTTTTCAGTCTTTATGATGGTCGATACTTGATTTATCTCTTACTGTTACATCCCTGGGCAACGCCGGGCTCTACTGCTAGTATTTAATATATGGGGTAAAGATATACAAAGAGAGAAAAAAATTTTTTTTATGCGATACATAAGTCTTAAACATATCACATGAAAACTTTCTCCAATTTGTCATACATCTTTCCCCCAAAACTTTTCTTGATATTTAAAAATTTATTTATCATTATTCCATATAGCATTCAGGTTCAAAAGCCACTCCTTTTGCTTAGAG